AACCCTTAAACCTTAAACCCTAAACGCCCTAAACCCAGAGCCTTCCCGAGTCCAATGCTTTCGCCAGGTGACCAAGGAGGACGAGGAGGAGGAGGCCCCGACTGCCCTTGACTTTTGGGTTTTAGGGTTTCAGGGTCTTTAGGGTTTACATAGGGGTTTAGGGTTTGGGGTTTGGGGTTTAGGGTTTAGGGTTTGGTGTTTGGGGTTTGGGTTGAGGGTGTGGGCCTGGGGTCTAGCGTTGTAGGGCTTAGGGTACTGGGGGCGGGAGACTTGCGTTGAGAACCCCGAAACCCTAAAACTTTGAAACCAGACATAGGCTCCCGTGGTTCTCGATAGGTTTAGTCCAAAATGGATCAGCTGATTTTATGCTGTTTTGTTGGGTAGGGTTTGATGAGTGTGAGGCTATAGGTTCGTGGGCTTCATCGAGTTTAGGGGTGTAAGGTGCAGGGCGTTACGGTCCAAACCAGTTTAGAGTTCAGGATTTAGGAGTGTATTGCCTTCTACAAAAGCCTAAATTTGCACGATGCGAAGATGAATTTACTGCCCCTGAGAAGGGCCCCAACCCCGAAACCCTAGACCCGCTGGGAGAGCCTGGTCGTGTTCGGATTTGGATGGTTTCGGATTCGGTTCGTTTAGTGGATGCTTGAAACCACAACATGGAAGGGACGACTTTGCTTAGAGCTTCAACTCCCAGACGCTTTCCTGCAGACCACAATCTACAACACTGGAGGAAGCCGGCTCAACGTTTTGAGGGATCAGGACGCGAAGGGAAGAAGTACAGTCGAAGGGAAGGAGGGAGATCCAGAAGCATGCTTTCCAGCAGCTGGCGCCAGCGCTCCCGCCGAAGACGCTCCCGTGACGTGGTGTCCCGCGCCTGGTTGCGTTGCCCAGAGCCTGTTGCTTGCATGCTTCCGCCCAACTTGTTGGAGATTGATCACTTCTCACCATGTGGGCCAGGGAAACCATCAAAGCATCAAGCCGCGACATGCTTGAATCAAGGGTTCCCAAGAAAGGATGCCTCATTTCAGCAATACTTGGGCCTTGCTTAAGTGGTAGTCGGTTTAGGGTTTAGGGTTTAGGGTTTAGGGTTCGCATGCCCTTAACAAATAACATGATCTCCTCCAAGCCCTTTTTCCGGCTGGGTCAGCGCCCGAAGTCTGTGAGCTCCGAAGACTCCTGGGACAACAAAAGCTCGAAGACTCGAAAGGCCCCCACACCCAGGTCCCCTGGAGGCTAAGCCCCAAGAATACAGGAGCTAGAAAGATGATGGTAGTAATCTCATGTATTCCCTGTGTCCCTAGGTTTCCTTTTGTGACCACAGAAGAACATGCCCCAAAGCCTACTCTAATCATCAAGGCCTGTTTCGTAAACCCTACATAAAAGCCGTCAGCTCCAAGCCCAAGCCCGACTCTGTGGAAGGTCTTCCGGCGCCCTCGCCCGCGCGTGGCGACCGCGGAAGGAGATGGAGTTTTTACTAACGAAGCGCTTTTTGTTTTGCAGGGGTCGGTGTGGCAAAGAAAGCCCCCCGCAAAAAGCAGGCTGCGGTGGTAGGAGAAACTGTGTAGGGCTTTTAGCATGAAGGAGTCTAGCATCAAAACTTTGAGCTTCAGTGCGTACAGCCACATAAGCCTTCGATAGACCTTAAAGTTTTTTTTAATCGCCAGAAGTCGGCAGTCCCCATTAGACGTTAATGGCTTCAGCCCAAATCTAACACCCACTAGAAGTCGAAACTGGAGCAAGACACTTGGTCAGATAATTTGTTGGTGCCTTGGGGCTTTTGTTGCGTTTTTCTATAAGCGTGGCTGGGCTCTTGCACTGCCAGCGGCAATTGATGTCCTTTCCTTTCGCCGTCAAAGACAAGTCGACTTTGTTCCGGAGCCTAAACCCTACACCATAAAGGGCAACAGGCATTGGGCTTGATGGTATCCGCTGGACACGTCATCGAAGCATGACAACAGCAGGTGGCTCCTGATTGGAGCCTTGTCTCCAAGCTCACAATTTGAGCCTTACTGGTCAGGGTTTCGTGGTTAGGACTTCGCTAAGGGTCCAAGTACCAAATAATCATGTACTCTCCCGAATATTAACCTATAACTACCATCCGCAACCAAAGCACCTGATTATTGGGTCCTTTGGACCCTTAGGGCTTCGTTATCAGAAGATTGTTTCGTGGGTGAGTAGCTCCTGGTTTGAGACGGAAAAAAGCCCGCGCAAGGTAACTGCTTGAGCTTTAAGCCTCAAGCCCAGGCTCGTCCTCAGAGTTAACAGGGTTTTAGGGCTTTAGGGTTTTATAAGGGTTTGGGGGTTTTTGGGGCTTCAGGTTTTATAAGGGTTTTGGGGTTTAGGGTTTAGGGTTTTTTTATAAGGGGTTTTGGGTGGTTTAGGGGTTTAGGGTTTAGGGCTAAGCATTCAACATTATTGCAACCTACCCTCTTACCGGGACCCAAAGCCTGATTTTAGGGCCATAGGCTGCAATATAGGGGCCTAAAGATGGTCTTATCAGCAATTCGAGAGCTCCAGAACAGCGGGCGCATGTGTTATGTTTTCACACCAGAACCCGTTCCACAGAAGTGTGTTCCAGGAGCATGCTTTCGTAGAAACCACAAGTCGCCCCATAGAAGTGCTGAAACTTAGCACACTTGACCAAGTGCGTTCGTTCAGTTTGGGCACTTTGCCAAGTATGCAAATAATGAACACCCGGATGGCCAGGGATTCTAGCTTTACCAGAAAGGAGCCCAAAACCCTACTCTAATTATTAAGGGCCCTACATGGAGTTTATGAGCTTGTGGTCCTGGCGCCCTTCTTCGGCGTTTTGTAGACCTTGCAGGACCTGCTTTGAACTTAGTACTCTTCGCGTCATCAAGCCGCAGCAAAGGAAATTTTAGGGGGCAAAAGGGCTGCCATCAGACCTCAGCAGCATAGCTTAGTTTAGGGGATCTTCATACATTCTCCTTCAGCCCTAAACCCTCAACCCTATAACCCTGTAACCCTAAACCCTATAAATTAAACACTATAACCCTAAATCTAAACCCCAAACTCTAAATTAAACCCTATAGCCCTAAAGCCCTATAGCCCTAAACCCTGTAAGCCTATAAGCCTTCACCATGTGCAGGACGACCCCGAGAGAAACCTGTGGCTCCGCACAACATGCGGGCCGTGACTTTGCCAGCAGAGGTGCTCATCCCAAGTCCCTGCTGTTGGGTTTAGGGTTCAGGGTTTCGGGTTTAGGGTTTAAGGTTTAGGGTTTAGGGTTCAGTCAGGGGGGGGTTTGGGGCTGTAAGGTTTTGGGATTTGGGGGTAGGGTGTTGTCCCAGACCCTGTGTCCCTAGACACTCAATCCAAAACATGAGTCGGAAGTTTATATCATGTTGAGAAATTCTTTTTTTCCCGACACTATCTTTTAATGGTTGGGGTTGTCGTTTCGTAGGTTCATTTTGAATAAATCTAAGGCCAAGGCAAGTGAGGAACCACCATAAGAAATTCTAATTTTTTCTGATGTGAGAATGCACGGAAGAGAAGACAAGTGGGATAAGATAAGTTCTTTGTTCCACCATTAGAAATATAACTCTTCCAGGATGCTGGAACCAATGTCGCTCCGCTTATTTCAATTCCACGAAGTGTACGCTTCATTCTTACCTTCCTCTTTTACCACAGGCATTCGTCTCCGGTCACGAAAAAGCTCCTATAATTTTTATCCAGGCGGAGGATGAGGTGGCTCCCATGATGTCAATCAGCTCTGGCGACCATTGCATCTCGTCCGACTGAAGGCTTAGGATTTAGAGCTTCGGGTTTGCCTAGGTCCTTAGTAACAAGTAATATTATTCTTTAGGGTTCCTTACTGTATCTTGTTGTTGTTTCCGGTCATAGTGCACCCCAAAGCCTTGTTCCAAATATCAAAGCCTTACATGGAGTTTGCATGCAGGCAGTTGGGGGGTCAGAGGGTTCGTTTTCGTCGGGTTTCGGGCAGGCAGCATTGAGCGGGCTTTTCCTACCGACTATGCTGTTGGCGTGTCTGCAGGTTTTTAGAGTTTCTTCACGGATACCTACTTGGCACACGGATTCATGTGACTCCCCAGGATGCGGCGGAGTATGCGGGTCAAGATTCCAGATGAACAGCATACCCAAGCCCCCTCTTATGAATTCTTCAGCCTCCTACACTGAGTTGAATTGATGGGGCCGCAAACCGTAAACCCACGAAGGCTGAGAAGATTCAAGCAGGTGCCGGTTCGAGCTGTGCATTTCTGCGTGGCCCTTCATGTCCTGTCACCCCAAATTTCAGGTTCGCAGCCCTAAACCTTAACCCTAAACCATTAACCCTAAACCCTAAACCCTTAACCCTTAACCCTAAACCCTAAACCCTAAACCCTAAACCCTGAACCCTAAAAAGGGGCTGGACCTCGCTGCTTCAGGCCTCAATGCGAGCACCCCTGAGCCGTGAGCCCCAAGCTCCAAAGTTCTATCCAGGGTGTACCATAGGGGCCTTAATAATATAGTTACCTATATTATTATTGCGGCCCCTATATTAAGGTCAAGGGTTTGGAGGTCAGGGTTTGGGTTTTAGGGTTTAGGCATTCCGACCCCGAAACCCCAGTCAAGAAATCCTTCTCTAGCCTAAAGTCTTTTCCTGAATGAAGGGATTTGGGGATCTCTAGGCGAAGCCTAGGGCTCTGCCCAGAGGCTCGGTTATTGAAAA